AGAATAGACAAACAATAGACATTTCTATTTAAGAGTCACTGGCAAAGTGGCTCACAACTATATTCCCAGCCCTTTGGGAGGCCGAGGTGGGTCAATCACAGGAGCTTGAGACCAGCTTGGGCATCATAGTGAGACCCTATCTCTACAAAAAAATACAAAAATTAGCCAGGCGTGGTGTGTGCCTATAGCCCCAGTCACTCAGGATGCTTAGACCAGAAGATCACCTGAACCCAGGAGGTTGAGGCTGCATTGAACCATGATTAGGCCACTGCACTCCATATTAGACAACAGAATAAGACCCTGTCCCAAAAAATAAGTAAATAAATAAACTCATATAAAAACAGAAGAGTAATTACTGCTGATCATATGAAAGAAAGAACATCTCATTTCCAGTATTAGAGTTTGACAGCTTCTCCACAGATTCCATCAAAGGAGTAATCATTGGAATTAAGAGAGAATCCACTAAAGTCTTGCAACACTGCAGTATGTTGGGTTAAGAAGCACTCACATTCAAACTCCCTTCAGCCATAAATAGGAAAAAGGACTCTTAGCCAGTTCTTGAACAAAGTGAAAAAGTCAAGTGTGATCTACAAATTTTCTAATACCTCAACAGCAAATTTGGGGCCCAATAAAAACTCTCCCCTCCCTAAAAAAAAGTGAACATTTATATATGTTTTTTTAAAGCATGTAAAAGAGTCATATTGAAAAGCAGACTTGTAAAAATACTTCAACATTAAATAAAAAGAAACTTTAAAATGTCAGCTTGCTCTCCTTTGATAAGATGCAAAAGACATGCTAATAGACAAGAACAGAAAAGCATACTAGGAATAAAGCTTGTTTATTATTTTTTAAGTGAAAATAACAGTTAAAATTGCACCGAGCCTAAGGTTTTTTTTGGCAATCTATAAATTCAATTCTCTCTAAAACTCTATGGCACTGATATTACTACTCTCCCAGTTTTGCAGATGTGGAAACAGAAATGAAAGACTTAGGTAACTTGTCCATAATTGTACAAGAATGATTTCATAGAACTGGAATTTGAACCAAGAGATTCTGGCTCCAGAAGCCACATACTTAACACTAGAGCACTTTTTCCATCAGGGAAATACAAGCACAGAGATGATTATGGAGTTGAGGTTCATGAAAGATCTCCAAGAAACTAAAAATGTCTAACACAAAATTAAAATTCACAGTAGAGTTAGTTTAAAACTGCAACTCCATAAAATTAAGGAACCAGTAACCTTTTTTCAGGGTTTACTAAATGTCAAGCATTGTTCTATATACTTTCACTTGTTAATTTCTATAACCCTCCCAATAGCACTAGAAGATATTATTATTATCCTCATTTTATCTAGAGAAATCAAAGTAACATAAAAGATAAATAACTTCCCCCAAACCACACAGCTATAAATTAGAGGATTTGAATCAAAGCACGTTATGTTCAGGACTAATTATATACTCACCATGTTATACATAAATACAATGTAAATGTTACTGAATTTCTGAAATTCGACAGATAAGATTTTCTCTTATTTCATGATCATGAATTGGATTTGCTTAATTTTCTCAAAATATTGTTTTATATTTCAATTATATTCCTAGCTTTTTAGTTTATTTTCACATCATTTTTCCCTATGTAACTCTAAATTACAGTCTCAAGTAAAACATATGTATAGAATAGAAGAATATATTTATAAATGGAATATTCTTTAAAATCAAACTATTCTGACATTATTTCAAAAGTGGAGGGGGAGTTCATGGTTTCAACATCAATTTTCCATCTTGTAAAAATTGAGTAAGTTATTGAATTCAATCTAAACAAGGTTGAGACTGTCACTCACTGTTTTTGGTACAAGAAACACTGTTTTGTGACTTTTCTAAGAAAAGTTGCCTACTCTTCAGCATAATAAATTACCATATAAATAATTGGTGGCCAAATTTCCTGCAATTCAGGATCCATTTATCAGGAGACGAAGCTTCAGTGAGTATATTTCTAAAGGTATCTTTCCATCCAAATTCCTCCCAATAATTTGCTCAGGGGTTTTGGTGGTGTTGTTTGTTTGTTTTGGTTCTTTTTTTTGGTGGTTGGAGGGGATTTTTCAATTATTCTCTAAAAACTTACTTTTATTTTGAGACTGTGATTACTGGAAAATTCTACCCAATACCTAATTTGTAGAAAAATAGGTAATTCATTTCATTAAGTTGAAAGCTATGAAAAATTGGAGATATTTATCATGAGATATCCAACTCCAGATAGAGGAACCCAAGGACATATTCTGATGTTTTCCAAGGAAAACCATGTTTGAAAACCAGAAGCTTTAGTTAGTTTCCTCATTCAAAGATACTATCCTAAAACGTTTATGTTTAATCTGACACTGTTTATTGTTTCAGTTATATGACCTACATTTTTGTCAAAATACAGCTAAGAAATGTGCCTTCATTATATGTCTGCATGTCAATAAAATTCGTCCATTTCAAAACCAAAAGAAAATTGAAAATTATGTATAGCTTACTCTGTTTCAGGCATTTATCTGAATAGTTTCCTAATATTTACCCCTTTTATTTAGCAAAACTCTTTTGAAAATTAGGAGTATATCTGTTGTTACAGACAAAACTAAAGCAAATTAACTTGCTTAAAATTCACACAGATAAATGACAGAACATAGTGTTCTTTGTACCAATTCATGTATTCATTACTTCCTTTACTACTCGATTAAAATATCCACATTGGGCCTTGTTTAGCTGTCTCTCTGGCATGCAAAAGATTAGAGTGAATCTCAACCGAAGCAGATTTCTAATCATAAAAACCATATGTAGTTCTGGCCTTAATTAAATTAATGATAAACAATTTCATTTTCCTTTTCAGGACAAGATAGTTCTGGATTAACCCTCACAACTTCTATCTTGATAATTGATTAAGTAACATGAGGAATTTTTTCCAATCCACATTCTGTTGTTTGCCACTGAAGAGTGCCACGTTCACATATAAACATGAAATACCTCCTTCATTGGCCACAGAACTTACACTAGAGCCACACCGGAAGGAAGCGTTCTCTTTTCCATGTCAAATGCTACCTCAAATATTAATTAATGTTGATGCATTCTTCACATTTACTTTGCCACTCAATCTATACTTTAGCTTTTTGAAAGTCTTGAATAGAAATTTTGTTGTTGTTTTGCCTTATGCATTAGGTTTTATTTCCGCTAAAGTTCTATTAACAGGAGGCAAGCCGCTGAATGGCTTTAGAAGTAGCTTTGTGAAAGCTAACTTTTCAGCTGAGCGAAATCTCCCTGGGGATATCACAGAGACATAGAAACTTTAACAGTATTTTGTTTTCCTCAGCACATCCCCAGATTTTAACGTGTCTAAATTTAATGCATTAGAAACAAGCATATGTTTTCTTAGCTACAGTCTCTTCTTATAGCTAGAAAATCTCTCACAAAAATACTAGTTGCTGAATATATTTATATATGAGGAGAAATACTAAAATAACGAACAAAGGACATAGTCACAGCATAATCTGCAAAGCAGAGGCTATTGTTCCTGAGGGCAAATAATATCTCATGGATATTTCCCACATCTATTTTTCCCCTTAGTTTTTGCTTTTGCAGATCAAATTCTATCACCCAACATGGTCTGCTCAAAATGAAATATAATATCATTCAATTTATCTTATTTTAAATGCTAATGCATTGTGAAAATGCTATAATAGCCCTCATTACTATTTATGAAAATAGATCATTCAAGGAAAAGTTAATTTAAATCATCTTGTAATCTAAAATTTCAGTAACAGTAGTTATGAATGATCAGCAACAACAATTTATGCTGTAATGGTTTTAGACTTTTTCTCTGCCAACCTAATTCACTATATCAATGCTTATGTACATTATACATTCTCTGGAAGTTTCTATAATACAGATTGAAAAAATGTTATGTTTTAAAATTTTCTTTTCAGTGCTATTAGACTTTAAGTAAATCCTCAAAATAGGGGATAATTGGGCGCAGATATAAATCAGCACACATAAATAACATGCTTAATTCTATACCATTTGATATTAAAGAAATCCTACTTAGCCTGTGAGAGAAAAAAAAGTATTATTTTTAATTTAACCTATTTTTGATGCAGAAATGTACTAAGAGTTTCTGCTTTTGAGTATATATTAATTGAATTCTAATTACATGATGTATGTAAGACACTTTTAAAACATAGAAAATATAACAATACATATTTCTTTACTCAAGTAACCTGTAACTCAGTCTTTTGAGGGTAACAATATAACCACATATAACACAAGACAGATTTGATGTATTGTATTATGAGAACCACACAACTTTCATACAAGATAGCTGACTGAACACATGCAAGGTCCTGTCCTCCATTTTCTTTTTTTTTTTTTTTAATTTTTTATTGGATTATAGGTTTTGGGGTACATGAGCAGAGCATGCGAGACAGTTGCGTAGGTACACACATGGCAGTGTGCTTTGCTTTTCTTCTCCCCTTCACCCACATTTGGCATTTCTCCCCAGGCTATCCCTCCCCACCTCCCCCTCCCACTGGCCCTCCCCTTTTCCCCCCAATAGACCCCAGTGTTTAGTACTCCCCTTTCTGTGTCCATGTGTTCTCATTTTTCATCACCCACCTATGAGTGAGAATATGCGGTGTTTCATTTTCTGTTCTTGTGTCAGTTTGCTGAGGATGATGTTTTCCAGATTCATCCATGTCCCTACAAACGACACGAACTCATCCATTTTCACTGGGGTCTATTGGGGGGAAAAGGGGAGGGCCAGTGGGAGGGGGAGGTGGGGAGGGATAGCCTGGGGAGAAATGCCAAATGTGGGTGAAGGGGAGAAGAAAAGCAAAGCACATTGCCATGTGTGTACCTACGCAACTGTCTTGCATGCTCTGCTCATGTACCCCAAAACCTATAATCCAATAAAAAATTAAAAAAAAAAAAAAAAAATTTACTCGCTCGCTGAGACTTGGCTGGGTGTGGCGGGAGGCAGGCGCTGCGGCGTCAGGAGTCCTGTGGTGGCGACGACGACGGAGCAGGAGCCAGTGGGCCGTTTGGAGCGAGGAGAAGCCGTAGCAGCCTCGGGAGCTGCAGCCGCCGCGGCGTTTGGGGAATCTACCGGGCAGATGAGTAACGAAAGAGGCTTTGAAAATGTAGAACTGGGAGTCATAGGAAAAAAGAAGAAAGTCCCAAGGAGAGTCATCCACTTTGTTAGTGGCGAAACAATGGAAGAATACGGCACAGATGAAGATGAAGTCGACAGCCTGGAGAAGAAAGATGTTTTGCCTACTGTTGATCCGGTCTCACTCTGGCGCTAGTCTGGAGTGCAGTGGTATGATCTCAGCTCACTGCAACCTCTGTCTCCCGGAGTCAAGTGATTTTCCTGCCTCAACCTCCCGACTAGGTGGGACTACAGCCATGTGCCACCATGCCCAGCTAATTTTTTTGTATTTTTAGTAGAGATGGCATTTCCCCATGTTACCCAGGGTGGTCTCGATCTCTTGACCTCCTGATTTGCCCGCCTCGGCTTCCCAAAGTGCTGGGATTACAGGCGTGAGCCACTGTACCCAGCTGTATTTGCTTATGTTTTTAAAAGTCATTGTCTCCAAAGGTGGCCTGTATTTACATAGAAGCCGAATAAACACATTGTTATTTAAAAAAAAATTTTTTTTACTAATATATTCATACAATGGGCTACTATATTGCAGTTTTTAAAAGAAAGATTAAAAACTTTTGATATATGCACCAGCAAGGATGAAGCCCACCAGCATTATGTTGAGTGGAAGAAGCTAGTTACCAAAAAAATGTCACAAGCTGTAATTTCACATATACAAAATTTATTAACAGACAAAACTAATAGGTTACTTCATTGGTGGGAGTAGAGAAAGGCAGTTAATGACATAGAAGTAGCACAAGAGAACATTATGGGTTCACAGAGTTATATAAGCTTACATATATGTAAAAATGCCCTGAGGTTTAAATTAATGACTTGTGTATTTACAACCAGTATACTTTCTGCCCTTTACTATATGTGTTAATCTTCATTTAAGGACTGAAGAAAAGTAAAGTTTTATATAATACAATAAAGCTGTGATGGAAGAGTGCGTTGGCCTAACTCAAACTACTTTACATTTGAACAGGTTTCCGCAGGACATAAAGAGGATACTACAGAGTTGATGAATAAATTAGAGCAGAGGAAGTTGCCATCCAGAATATGCACAAAATAAATGTATGCTATACCTGAAACGGAAGCTATTCAAGACAGAGTTCTAACGATAAGTTCGTTCTATGTTCTGTTTTTCTAATGGAAAAATTAGTCACACTTCAGTCCTTCTTCCTGTTTTTCTCTCCCTGACAGAGTTGGGGATCTGTCCTTGGGAAAAAAAAAATGGAAGAATATAGACAATAAAAGATCCAATTTCTTGTATTTTGACTTTCAAAAGTGATGTTTCAAAAATAAGAAAAGGTCTCAAAGAATGCTTGACTGATGTTCCCTTGCCCAGAATATATGAAAGAGAATGAAAGAATAGAAAGGAAAGAGAACTGAAATGTCATTGGGATTCCTGAGAAAGCACTCCACACCCTCCACTCCACAGAGAGTCCCAAAGTATATGAAAAAATGGTTTCACCTAAGAGAACTGATGTGAATCTCAGACCCAGAGTAAGTGTAAGGGACAACAAAGTACCAGAGTGGTAGAGTACACAGCAGAAAAGTAGGGGGATGGACTGAAGGTAGAATTGGAGTCCTCCGTTCCTATCAAGGTCATGAAAGTCACGTGAGAGAGAGACAATGAACAAAGACTACTCCAAGTTAAGACAACGTGGAATAGCGGAGACATGCATGAACCAATGGGAATTATTATATTTAAGTATATGCCAACATAGATAAATGAAAACAACAGCACATATGCCAACTCCATCCAAATGCCACAGTGCTATGCAAATTGTGATATATCATTTATAACCACTGGGGACGAGAGGTATTCTGCAATGACTAAGAAATAGAAACAGACATTGAATCTGATTAGAATAAGTAAGTTATGTTTCTCATGCATCTATATTTGTGACCAGAGACTCATAGTTGTTCTATTAAAGATTCCCAAATAAATAAGAAAAATTCTCAACAAATGAGAAAAAATACATTAGAAAAAAATGAGAAATGAAGTGAGAATGACAAAGACAACTCAGGAATACAAGAAAATACTAATAACAATTCAACTGGTATTTTAAAAAGCATTAAAAAATACTCTAATAATACAAAAATAGTTTTCAATTAAATACATGAACATTCAGAGTCTAGGACATTTAAGTATCAAGCATGAAATTATTCAATACATATAGGCTAGAATAACAGTCTAATAGATCTTTCTTGCAATAAGGCAGATGGGTACTCCTTCTAGATGTCTACATTCTTAGTCAGAAGTCAGAAGACCTGAGATTTTTTATTTTACTTTGGCCAGGCATTAAAGTCCATCACTTTAATTTTCAAGCAAGCTTCCAGATATGTCCACAGAAGAAACCATGCAAATGTGTTCTTTATTGTTCATTCATTTATGACCCATTTGCCAGATCATACAGCAGGATCTTTGGTTAAAGTACAGTAGTCTGTAAAAATCCAAACGCTCCCCTATGAATGCCTAAAAATTCTTCCCCTGCTAATTCCACTGCTATTGCCCTTGTAGAAACTCAACGTTGCTTTCTTCTTCAAGGCTTTACAAAACAGCCTCATGGCCTTTATTCTGTATTCTCACTCTAGAGGCTCCTTTCAGTGGACGAAGGAGCCACCTTTTCCATGACTGGGAGAGAATCATAAGATCCAGACTACACAGTATCCTTAGTGGGCTCTACTTTTGGTCTTATAGTCAGTGAAGCAACTGCTAATATAAAGCAGTAGACTCCTCTGAAGTTACCCTCTTAGTATCTTTCTAATATACCATTTCTACTTGGTGAACAAGCTTTGCTATGCTGCACTCTTCCTATCTGAATATCCCTCTGATATCACCCATGGCATGATCAGTATTTCTGTCCTTGGAATTTTCTGATGCCCTTCAGTAGTGGGAGTGGTTTGAACCAACCCTCAGTAACAATCTCACTTATATCTCTTGAAATGATGAACAACTCAGCAGTTTTAGCCAAACTCCAAGAGAACTCACTGGATAGCCCTATTCAGTTTCTGCAAATTCCTGCAGACTGCATATGTACTGGTTACAACTTGAAATATTATCTGAGCAGATGGATCGTAAGCGTCCAGTGAAAATGTCTGTGCCAACACACTTGGTATATTTTTAACAGTTTTTTCTGCAAAAGCACCACTCAAATTCAGATTTATTTTTAGTGATGCTGTGGTTCAGGTCGTCAAGATTAACAAGCAAATATGATTCAATCCAAACCCAAAAAGCCCTCCTAGTCTCTAAGTTTCTTGCCTATTTCCAGTATATGGGAGAACCAGTAACTTACTTCTCAAAGTAGAAGGACGATCTCTGGTTTTTCCAGTCTATATGAATTCTTCAGAATTTCACGGATTGGACTGGACCTTAAATTTTAGCAGGATTTGTCAGCCAGCCTCTGTTTTTTATCTAGGTGCCTCTGATCTTTAGCTCAACCTGATCTTTCTCTGAAGAGGCAAGTCTCATACTGTCAGTGTAGCACACTGATTTTCTATTAGTGATTTTTAACTCCAAATCCTTCATGAGAATATGGCAAATGCTGGCTCCCAGCATTCTCGTGCCTGACATGGGACTCATGGATCCCTACATTCTGGCACCCAATGTGTGGGGCTCATGGATTCCCTACAAATTACAATGAAGGTAATCAGAAACACCAACTTGTTTAATCCTTGATATTGTTAACCTCTAGGATCCATCTGTCTTATGTACTGACCAGACAAGACATTGGAAAAGGGAGTTAAAGGGAACCAAATTCTCTACTTCAACAAATTTCCTTAATCAGAACAATCTATTACTTCAAGAGAGTCTGTATTTATTGTATACCACCAAAGATGTCTCCAGTCATATTTCCCATTAGCAAATTTACCTCCACCCTGGTTTTAAGTGCCTTTTAGAGCATCACCTGCATACCCCACAGGGATTACTGGACATCTAGCTTGCATATCTGGTAACCCTAAGAAGTCTGCATACCACCTCTAGATCACTTCATCCAAGCCATTGCAAAACACCTAAGGCTTTCTTGTTTTACACTGTAAGGGATATTTTAATTTTATGGAATTTTTGAATTTTAATTCCTAGAAATTACCTTTATTATTATTTTCTATCTAGAAATTCTATCTCTGGATATTTGCACTTCTATAGCTATTTCTGGGCTGTTCAATCATATTTGTTTCCTTCTAAGAATGTACTGGTATCCCATATTACAACTAATGAATTCATCTTTCAGCTATCTTCATTCTCATATGCAATCTATCTATTAGGCTTTTTATTCAGCTGTTAACTTCTTGGCACCTAGTGTTTCTACTTGATTATTCTTCAGTACATCTTATTAATAATAGCTTCCCCTGTCCCTTGTTGCATATTTTGTCTATTTCAAATTCTGACTCTTCAATTTTACTACATCTGCTGATACAGTGTATAATTTACCATTTTAATTTAAGGAAGATATATTCCTGAAATGTTTAAAGAATTTATATCTCAGCATTTGGGCATTTAATAATATTATTAATTTGGCTTATCCCAGAAGAGACACATATGTTGCCTATTAATATGAAGTGGGGAGAGGCAGAAGAAAGAGCCTAGCCTAGGTCAATTCTTAGAGGTCAAATGTTTATGAAGGGATGGCTTTCAGGTGAAAAACTCAAGTTACCAAAACCAGAAGTAACCACTCCTATTTTGTTTAACTGCACCAAGTAACTTTTCAAGTTAACACTCTACATTCAAACACCAAGGAAAAGGAAGACTGACTAAATCGTTACCCATCAACCCTGGAAGTTTGGAGAAAACTGAATGAGGGAGAAAAGGCCATGGCTGGTGAGTCCTCATCAATTAGTTTTCCTCAATTCTCCCCCCGTCAGGGTTTTTGCATTGCCTTGCTTCTACCCCTGTTGGCACCTCCAGCAGAAGGATGGGCCATTGGAGGTATTGGCCTCAAAGGTTTAGGCAACCATTGCCAAATCCTGCAACAAACAAGAAGGCAACGGGGAAGCCAAGATGCTATTTCAACTGTTCTTTCCTAATTTATGCTTTAATAACTGAGCCAAAAGCCCTTTGCTCTCAGTTACAGCCATCTACCTGCCTTGCCACATACCAGTTCAAAGTAACTGTCTTTTATGCTAAGGATTTCTCACATTTTTATGCGTATGCATTGTGTTTCCCTTCTCCCCCACAGTTTTCCTCTGGTTGATTTGCTGGAAAGCAGCAGCAGCTTGTGCTTATTTGCAGTCTTGGCATAAATTGGAAACTCTCCTACAAGCGGGTTTATGAACAGGAAACAGAAGACAACATTGCTGTAATAGAATCTAAGTAGACTATTGAATAGTCTTCTGAGATATATAAGATCTGAATTCTGGAAGAAACCTCAAACATCTAATTCTACATTTGACTGCCCTGCTGGAATATTGAACTGTTAATTCCTTTAACAATATGGTCTCAAGTGAATGGACTAGATAGACACTTTTAAAGTGTAGAATAAATTGAAGGAAATTTTTACAGTTTAAATTACTTTGAATTTTGACTTAAAACTTGTTTTAAAATTATCTTAATTCTAATAAATAATGAAAAACAAATTTGAGAAATCATCAGTTTTCCACAGTTGTTGGACCAATTTACGCAGCCACCAACAGTGTATGAGTCGTTCCCTTTTCTCAACACCCTTACCAGTAGCTGTTGGTTTTTGTTTTTTGGTTTATTTTTATTTTGTTTTTACTTTTTAATAACAGACATTCTGACCAGTGTGAGAGGGTATCTTATTGTGGTTTTGATTTGTATTTCTCTGGTGATTAGTGATGATGAGCATTTTTTCATGTCTGTTGGCCACTTGTAAGTCTTCTGTCCTTGCCCATTTTTTAATGGAATTACTTGTTCTTTGCTTGTTGAACTGAGCTCCTTACAGATTTTTCATATGCATAGTTTGTAAATATTTTCCCCCATGCTGTAGGTTGTCTATTTATCAACAGTTTGTTTCTTTTGCTGTGTAGAAGCTCTTTAGTTGAATTAGGTCTTGCTTGTCAATTTTTTTTGTCACTGTTGTTATTGCAATTGCTTCTAGGAACTTAGTCAAACATTCTTTGTCAAGGCCAATTTTGAGAAGGGTAATTCTAAGGCTTTCTTCTGTAAGTTTAAAAGTTTGAGGTTCTACTGTAACCAGGGGCGGGAGCAGGGGCATCCCTAAGATGTTCCCAATTCCCCAATCTGAGGTCCTTGGCCTCTCTTACTCTGAAGAACTGGGGAAAGGGGCTCCGAAGGTGCAGTGAGCTTACTATTTGAATAAAAGTCACGGACCCAAAGACTTTCGAAGAAAAAGCGATTTATTAGGCAGAGAGCTAGCAAGAGCGAGCTCCCACACTAATGTGTGAGGGGAATCCGGGATATCCTATGGATAAGGAGCAGCAGAGTTTTAACCCCGGTGTTATAACCTCCTCGTTCATGTTCTCATCCAATGAGAAGAGTTCTTTCAAACTTCCTCTGGAGTGACTGATCCTAGACTCTGATACTGGATTGGCTGCTTGGTCCGCAACAGAGTCCCCAGAGCTTTCTGTTTTGTTTTTGTTTTTGGTTTTGGTTTTTTTTGGACAAAGAAGCCAACCTGGATTCCTCTACCTAGCCCACGGGAAACCTAGACAAAGAACTTTAGGATCCCAGATGGCGGCATGGATGATGGGTGGGGGGTCGGGGATGGAAGCATGGCGCTGGGAAACTCTTGCCTTTCAAACTATGCCCCTCGTGGAACTGGGAAGAGTTTTTTTTTCCCTTAACACAGTCCCCCCATGTTGAAATCTTAAATCCATCTTGAGTTAATATCTGTATATAGTAAGCTACCATTTGACCCCATAATCCCATTATTGTATATGTATATCCCCAAACGAAAAGAGATCATTATGCCTGAAAACACATGTACTCATATGTTCATCTCTGTGCTAATCACAATAGCAAAGACATGGAATCAAGCTAGATGCCCATCAATAATGGAATGAATTTTTTTAAATGTAGTATATATACACTATGAACTACAACATAGCCATAGAAAAGAATGAAATCATGTTCTCTGCAGCAATGTGAATAGGGCTAGAGGTCATAATCATAGGTGAGCTATCACAGAAAGAAAAACCCAAATATGGCATGCTTTCACTTATAAGTGGGAGCTAAACATTGAGCACACATGGACAGAAATATGGGAACAACAGACACTGCAGATTACTAGAGTAGGGAGGAAGAGAGGGGGACACGGGTTGACAAAACTATTTGGGTACTATGCTTACGATCTGGATACAATATACCTATGAAACAAACCTAAACTGTGTACCCCAGTATCTAAAATAGAGGTTGAATTTTATCAAAATAATAAAATAGTTACAAGAGAAAAAAATAGATTTAACTACTAGTAAACTTTACAGATAAATTGCAAAGTTGTATGTAAAGTGCCTAGATCCCTACGTTTAGCTGGGACATATATTTGAGAAAACCTGTCTCCAGCTCTTCAAATATAATTCGCATTGTGGTTGCTTGAATTCACAGTTTTGAAGCAATCATCCCATAACGCTCCTGGCAGTGGTGGTGAAAATAAATCGAAGTGTGTTTAAGCCCATATTTTTGAAGCATATTAACTGTCCTAATGCCAATCTGTTAATAGCCTCATGCCAGGAATATTTTTTTACATTTTGGTTTTACTTATAGTCCCAGATATAGAGCCAACATTAAATGAAAGCTAACTAAACAACTATTTGAGAGTTCCTAGGACCTACTCTTTTCCAACCATCTCTCTAAGTGTACTACACTGGTTCCTCAAATTCTACCACATTAGATCTTTTTAAGTTAATCCTCATTGCTCTGCATTAAAATACAAAATCCCGTATAAAGAAAGATATTTTTACCTACTGGTATATAATTCTGTATTAATTTATTAGATCCTTGGTATGGTATTGACCACACCATAGTCAATGGATAAGTATTGAATACCAGAATTGAAAGCAGAATTCAGAAGACATTGAGGAACACAGACCAAAGAGAGCTCATGAAAAGTTTTAGGATACCAGGTGGGATATAGAAGCTAGCAGCACCTTTAGGCCATTTGCCAAAGTGGGGAAAGGAGAAAATACTTGAAAGCTGGTGAGAGTATGCTGATGTAACTATCTTCTTCACACTTTCATTTAGAGCCAGCTTTGCTCAAGAGATTGAAAAATTCTTGTTTTTTGTTTGTTTTGTTTTGGAGATGGAGTCTTGCTCTCTCACCCAGGCTGGAGTGCAGATGTGTGATCTTGGCTCACTTAAACCTCTGCCTCCCAGGTACAAGTGATTCTCCTGACTCAGCCTCCTGAGTAACTGGGATTACAGGTGCACGACACCTCGCCCAGCTAATTTTTGTATTTTTATTAAGAGACAGGATTTCACCATGTTGTTCAGGCTCCTCTCGAACTTCTAACCTCGTGATCTGCCCACCTCGGCCTCCCAAAGTGCTGGGATTACAGCCATGAGCTACTGCACCCAGCCTGAAAATACTTGTGAAATTGTTACACCTATCCTAAAGTCTGGGCTACAAATTGTGACGCCAACAAAAGATCTGACTTCCCAGGCCAATCACCCAGCTTGCTTACCCCTCCCTGCACAATAACATACACAAGGTCCAATTCGAAGTCCCTGCTTTAGAAATTTCTCACCTGTCTAAAGGAAATTCATCTTTATCTTCCTCTCTCTCTACTCCACCTAAAATTGATGAATCATCCTTACGTTTACTTGTGGAATGAATGAATTCATTTCTCAGAAAAGAAAGTTGATACTGAAATGATGGGGGAAATATATCAGCTATTCATATATGGACAACTTTTTCTCATCTCTAAAATTATTCAATATTCAAGTTACACTTATTTAAATTATTTTCCTAATATTTAGATACCTAAGTCAGAAAGGTCAAAAGAATTCCCAAGCAAGGCTTTTCCTTTGTAATTATAACCCCTTTAATCCTATCCCAAATACCCGGATATCTTCAGCGCAAAGTCAGTGGATTTCTGTGCATAATTAACATCCAGACTAGACCATTCTAAACTGGCCCCTCGTCTGTAACCCAAAACTAATATCAGGAAATGCAACTATACCTATTTTTAGCTGCATTACACATTTCAAAAAAGAAAAAGACATTGCTTTGAATATATCTTCTTTTTACACTTTCAAATTGTTGTTGATTTTAATTCCTTTGGGTCAATGTTATTTAGTGTTAGAACCCCAAATTCGAATTCCTTTTTGAGATTCTAAATAACAACCAGTTGTTGGTTTCACAATAGTACTGCAAATGACTGAAAGTTCTTATAAATCCCTGAAGGAACAAAAAAACATAATAGTTTTTATCTATCTAACTTTTTGAGTTTTGATCCTTTGTCTTTAGTTTGATATGCTAATGTTTTAGGCAAATAATAATAACTAACTGATTTTAATAAACGCAGAACTTCTGTAGAAAGTACAATTTAGGCAACTACTAAATTATGCCTTTTTTCCTGGATTCTTTCTGTAGTTTTAAAACAAGTTAGTCATCATTAAAAACAACATATTTCCAATATAAGTAATTATTTAAATTCCACAAAGTATTTTATGCATGCATGAAAACTTGAACATGTAAAACAAAACCACAAATATCAGAACTTGTAGTTAGCACTCTGTTTTAATGTTCTAGTTCAATTTCTATTTCTTTCAATCTATCCTATACTTGTTTATCTGGATTCTATTATTAAATTATTGGGGTTTATAAGAAGCAATTAATTCCAGTCTAGCAATTTCTAAGTTCACAATTTTATAAGTCGTACTTTTGTGAAAACTGAATAGAAATGAATCTCTGTGCTGATTTTATAATTAAGGAAACCTGAATTGAATAATTAGGATATAGAAATATGTGTTAGTAAGGTTTTCTGAGAAATGGCTACCAAAAACAAGATTCATTTTCATGTAAACAATGCAAAAACCCACTAAGCTGTTCATCAAGTAGTTTTTCTCTTTCTACATTTATATTGGTACTAGCTCTGCTAAAGGAAGCCTAATATATTTATGATTAAGGTCATGTCTTTATTGAAAATTGTGAAAATAAGACAATACATTCAATATTGGTTCACTTAAGGTAAGCCTAAAGTACAGGAGATAAAGAATGCCGTTGGCCAAATAGAAACTGTCTTAAAGATATAACATCCAAGAAGATGATGACAACAGCATAATATGAAACTCCAATTACTTAGCAACCTGCTTCGGTGGTAAGACGAGCTCATGCAGGTAAGCAACCCAATAAAATAATTCAAAATGTAGAAGAAAAATCAGAGTGTGACATCAGAAAATTGCTGAAATTATTTCTATTTGAATGCTTTTTTTCTGACCCAGAGAGGTACAATTTATCATGAAATGAATGGACTAATACTTGACGGTAAGAGGAACCAGTGAAAATAAATTAGGCTAGATTGCTGTAATACAGTATTTCACTTACTTGAATATGCTACAAGTTTCATTGCTAAATTCAAGTCATTTCCTATACTGCTTAACCTCCCAAATGTATGTTTTGATTTAAAATGCAGTAATGAAAAGAAAAAACTACATTGGCATTACTTTTTATGGCAAAGTTATTTTCAGATATTTAAATATTGTACAAACACGTTTATTGTACTCATTCATGTTGACCTTAAAATTCTGTGATTCTGCAATTTTCCAGGAGAATATAAAGATCGAGGATGAACATAAGTATAATAAAACTTACAAAGGTCCACCCGGCTTTGAGAACCATCGTTACACAGGAGGATCCCTGCTGCTACTGGCGCTGAATGCTCAGTCATCAAACAGCTCCTCCCCAATCATGGAAAGAACTGTTAACTTGTGAATCAATAACCCTCCACTCTAGCCTGACCACACACTCTGTTGCCTCTTTAATAACAGTTTCCACCATGTGACTTTATCACGTGACTCAAATTAGCCAATGAAATGCAAACGGAAGTTACAGGGGGGCTCTCCATGCACCAGGTGCAAACACTGTCTCATCTTCTTCTACCTCTTTCCTTCCCAGCACTGACACATGTGAAGCTCCTCATTGCCTGGGTTCCAGACTCAAGATCTTATAACGAATGAACACCAGCGGGTCTCAAACATATAGTCTGAGCAAGAAACCATTGTGGATCTGTTTAGTTTAATGTTACTGCAGCACAATTAAGCCTGAGATCATTAATAAATGTGTATTTAGAAAACTGGAAGAAATACATTTTATCAAATATATTTATATCAAATGTAAACAGTAACTGATATGCTGGAGGATGTGGGATCAAGGTATCTTTTCACTTTTTGTTTTTCTGTACTTAAGGAAAAATATAAATTTAATATTGGAATCAAAATAATGCTTTATATGTTCTCACTTATTTGTGGGAGCTAAAAGTTAAAACAATTGAACACATGAAGACAGAGAATAAGTAAAAGGATGGTTACCAGAGGCTGGGAAGCGTAATGGGGTTTGGGGGAGAAGTGGGGATGGTTAATATATATAAAAAATAATTAGAAAGAATGATTAACTACTATTTGATAGCACAACAGGGTGACTATAGTCAATAATAATTTAATTGCACATTCAAAGACAACTAAAAGAATACAATTGGATTGTTTGTAAAAAAAGATAATGCTTGAGGAGATGGATACCTAATTTACCATGACATGATTATTATGCATTGCATGCTTGTGTCAAAGTACCTCAGGTACACAATAAAGACACGAATGTACCCACTAAAATTAAAAATTTTTAAAGTGCTTTATAAATACTATAAAAATCAAATGCTTTTCATATATTCATATGCTGTTCTAATTCCAGCCATTGCAGACAGTTGAAAATCTACTGTGATAAATAATACATCCTAATCTCCCTAAATGGGCAGATAGAATTATATACTTTTTACCCTTTAACCCTAGAAAAATAGACTTTTCTATTGGCAGTACAGTGGACAAAGAAAAATGAGGAAACCCTGAAGCTCTTACTCCCCAATTCTCTGTGGCACCAAGAGATGTTCTCACAGTCTGCATCAAGATGGCTGGTGGCTGACGATAGGTGTTATGCTAGTCATTACTTCTGTGAAATTAGTTATTTGTTGTATCTAAAACTTCGTTAACTTATTCTGAGGGAGAATCATGTTCAAAGCACCCTCTAAACTACCAGGGTATGCCCCATAGACGTTTGGGTCACAAAGCTCATGGTTGAGTCTGTCCACTCCATTCCCTTCCCTAATATTTGCATTTCTATTACTTAAACTGCTTCCTGCTTCTATTCACCGAAGCAAGAGCAGCCTCCTCGCTCTAAAGATCACAGCACCAGAAACACCTCTCCCCTAGCTGGCTTTGGTTTTTCCACTCCTAAACTTATTTTATTTTGTATTGTTTAGTTTGTCTTCATGAATAAAAGCAACTTAAAACAAGAAGGCAAAAAGTATTTAGTAATTTTATAAGAATACATGCCACGTCTCAAAGGAGTGATATAAACTTAAATATCTTAAATGTTTACATTCCGCTAACTTCTCTCTTTATTGGAACAAAATAATCATCACACTATTCTTTAAGTCACCTCAAGAAATTGAGAAGATTTAAGCAAAGATTTAAATAATGTTGTTTACTAAAATATTATTTGTAAAAGTTAACAATAAAAAGAAAAATTAAAGGCGGGAAGCGGTGGCTCACGCCTGTAATCCCAGTACTTTGGGAGGCCAAGGTGGGCAGATCACCTGAGGTTGGGCGTTCAAGACCAGACTGACCAGCATGGAGAAACCCCATCTCTAAAACAATAAAAAG